TTTTTAAGGAATTGACTTTCTTGTCAAAGTGGTGGGAATCCATTTTCTTGGTAAAATGGAATTGCTTTATTTTTTTAAAAAAATTAATTTTTTTTACCAATCGGGAAAATTTTTAGACACAATGATAAAAAAATTTATCATTTTTATTGACAATTTCAATGCAAAACGAAGCCAAACGAATGTTATTCGATATGGTAATCTTTTTTGGCTATTGAAACAAATTTTAGACTTAATGGTAGAAAAAATTATCACTTTAATATGAAGTCAAGCGGACACCAAATTTTCGACATTTTTCAAGTGAAAAATTATATCAATAAAACACAATTAATTACAATTCTCAGTAAAACAATTTCTAAACACTTCAATTCCCTGGAATTCATTTTCTTTCTACCAATTTTACACCTTCGCAATTAAACGGACCCTAAGTTTTCCATGTACTGAATACATGGAAAATATGTTACGTAATGGCTCCAACTAAGTAATTTTCGTCAGCTTCACAGGACGAGAAGTGACTAAATGTGACCGACTGATAAAATTTAGCTTCTGTTTGATATATATTAAAATTAAATTTTTAATAGATTTTGATAAAAGTTAACCAAATGTATGATTAAAAAGTTATGGATTCTATAACGTATGTGATAAAATTGAAGTTCAATGATTCAATTGAGACAAATTAAACCTCAATGATTCATTGATTTTATGAATTTTATCCGAAATCCAAGATAATCTTTTCAATTTAAAAGATATTTAAATAGGTTAATTGTGAATTGAAGACCAATATTGCAATTATTCCAATATCCCGCGTGGAGGGCAAGATCATATTATGGATTGGTTTGGTATTGTAGTGCTTTTTAGAGAATCATTTTATTTTATTTTTTTTGTATTCAAGTGTATGAATAATTAGTTGGGTGTTTCATAAACTTTTGTTTTAGGATTATATTTAAAAATCAGCATTTTATTATTTGATATACAAAATAGGCAATGATTATAGTGATATTATTATTGATAATGATGTAAAATTATTTTTAGTTTTATAACAATATATGTAATATTATCAAATATTGTTTTAAGACAATATACTCATTATAGTTATTTTATAATGAAAAATATATAATATATAAATTAAAAAAATAAAAATAATGGTCTATATAGTAGAAAATGAATTAATTTAACCAAGGTTAAAATTTATATTTTAATTATAGATAAATGGAGATTCTAAAAATCTATTAGGCCATGTTTGAATGTAACTAATTCCATGAAAAATATCACATTCGAGAAAAACGAATTTCACTTTGGCCGTTTGATTACAACGAGGAAATGGAAACCGAATTCCAAAGTTCAACCACTTTAAACTTTTTTTTTTTTTCATGGAAATCGAATTTCTATGGATTTGGTGACATTACGAAAATTATAACAAGTCACGCGCCAATATTCAGTCGAAATAGTCTACAAGAAAACCGATTTTTCGATTTTGATTACGTTGAATCGAATGCCGATTTGCATCTCAACTCTAAAGCTTAGTCCAAAAGGCTCGAGCCAACCATCTTTAATTGCGGTTAAAAACAAAAAAGAAAAAAAACCGGTTGATTGAGACGCTATGGTCCATCACTGGCGTATTTGAAGTGGCGAACACTGTGATATGGTAGGGTGCAAAGTACATGAATGCCGCTATTAGTGCTTGGATTTTTGTAGCATGGGCGAGGAGATAAAGAGCAATGCAATTTAGAGCTGTTTGAGCCATGTTAAAAGATTAAGGGACTGTTTGATACATATTTTCATTGTCTACAGTAAATTAATTTTCATTTTCAATTACACATTTTTTAATAAAATAATATTTTCCATCACAACAATACTTTTTTCTTCTTTTTCAACCACACATTTCCCATCATATCACTATTCAAAAATCAA